CGTGTGCTCTTCCGATCATTGAATTAAGGAATAGCATTAATATCGTAATAAATCCTCCCAAAATTTAGAAAATTAATACAACTTCGAGTTCTTAAACTGTAAATTATCATGTTTGAGTCAATAATAAGGACACTTATATGATTTTGTACCATCTTGTGATAGCCGGTAGAGTTCCTAATCCAATAAATCTTTTGCTTGAGCTCGAGGGAGACGGACGTTTCGTTTTGGCTCGAGCGATTGCATCATTTTTTGGAATTCGGTAACGAGTCTTGCCGGGTGTTCCACCCGTGCATGCATTGTAAGCTAGGCCAAGATTATCCCTGTACAGAGGACCAGGGCCCTTATAAAAAAAGAAGAAGTTCCTAACCCATCTTAATTGTCACAAGTGAGTGCGAGTAGATATTGCGTGTGTCAAAAGAAAGATTGTGTGTCAACAGGAAACATTGAAAGCACTTTCATCTGAAGGAGACCTTAAAGAAAAGAACAAGTATTCTCAATTTGTGATATTCCTAATGTATGATTATGCTTGCATATTGCTAGAATTTTGCTATCTGGGTATTTATTATTTTTCGATGTGTCAGTAATAGGGACGTTCTTATCTTGTACAATGTACAGCATATCATTGATAGGTACTTTTATATGCGTATCACCTATTAGTGACATGGACACAAGTATGTGTCACAAATTGGGACAATTTCAAATTCATGTGTCACTAAATGGTACAAAAACAATGTTTAGAAAGAAATAATAAATAAATTAAGAATTGTTAAAAAAGTTAAAGAATTTAATTTTTTCTGAATCGTAAATATTCAAATTTTCCAATAACATTTATTTCATGTACTTATTGTGACATATGTATTGATAATTTATTAATTAATTGTTACGACGAAGTTTACTTTGTCACTAATTGGGACATTCACCTTACGTACATGTGTCACATCTAATTGGTTAGTGTATCACTTCTACGTGACTACTTCTAAGTGACTCACTTCTACACTTGATACACTAACACAATTAGATGTGACACATGTACGTATATGAATTTCAATATGGCGACGAAATGTTGCAGGTTATTCCGTTCAGCAAACCTGGCAGTACACGGAACATTTTTTGTGTTCACTTCCAATCTATGAAGTTACGTCTCTTTATTCATACTTCATGGTTGGTATCAAATGACTTTTTGGGTGAACCGAGGGAGATATTCTTCATATTTACAAAAATCCGTAAGCTCTCACAGTTAATTGTCCGCCTTGCGTAACGCCTCTTCCGCCTTCACTCTCAACACCTCCGCGCTCTGCTTCCTGATCTCGTCGTCGGATGACGCCGAGTCCTCCTCCCTGTCGTTCTTCGAGCTTAGGTTCTGCGGTATGCTCTGCACTCCGAGATTCAGGGGATGCCCGTGCAGCCCGTGGCCGCCCAGGGAGTGGCCGTTGACGCTGCTGTGGTTCAGCGACGAACTCGGATTCAGGCCGACCGGGAGCATCGTGCCTAGGGACGCCAGGTTCTGCGGCAACGGCAGACCAATGTATTGCGACAGGAGGGCATGCAACGGCGGCAGCTTAGGCGCGCTCGGTGGCCAGGGCGACGGGAATACCGGAGGTATAAACCAAGGGAACGCGCCTGTCGGCGGACCCGAGGAGTCCGCGCCGGGAACGCCGCTGGCCGTTTGCAGCAGCCGCGCGTGAAGGGACAACTCGTTAACACCTGTAAACAAGATTCGACGGGCTTGCTTACTTTTTTGACGTTGCACCAAATTCTCCTGCGGACAAAACTAACGACTTCATTTCTGAACAACTTACTCTATCTTTTTTTCTATATCTTTATTATCTTTTTTTTAATTTTAGAAAATGAAAAAGAAATTTGTTATAATTATTTTTTAAAAAGGATTCAATGTAAAACATAATCAACAAATGTATAGTCGATCTTAATTATAAATATAAAGCACTTCCATAAAACTAACGTAAACTTATTCTATATCTAATAAAAAATAAATTAGAAACTTAAAATATTAAACACAAATTAAATTGAGAGAAGGTCATACGATCATAGTAGGATCTTGGTGCTCCTAATATTTCTATGTGAATTTACATACATATTCTAGTTTCAGCGAAATGCGTGCCGTTACTTTCAAATTCAACACAGCTCTTGAAATAGAATCGTATTACCACGGCTGATGTAATATTTTTCGCAACAAATAATTCTTACCATTTATTTCGCGTCGTGGGGTAGGGCAGATTTTATTAGATAAGCATCAGCGTTTATTAAATTGATTATTAATTTAATAATCGTGATAATACGGTTCTGATTCAGGCAAAAAGCTGTGTTGAATCCGAAAGTAACGGCACGCAGTTCGCTGAAATTGAATAGAAAATGTACGCAAACTCACATAGAAATATTAGGAGCACCAAGAGCCTGCTATAATCGTATGGGCTTCACTTAATTTAATTTGTGTTAAACAAAGACGGAATATATATTAACATATAGTTAAAATATTAATTTTATTGAAGAATATTTATTTTTATAACAATTTTAATATTTCATTAATTCCCATTTTATTGTCTTTTCCAAGAAAATGTAACAAATTGAGGACACTTTATATTTATGATCAAGGCTGTATGTTTACATATATTTGTATATTATATTAATAGAGGAAAGCCAATATCGATATAGGTTTCCTGAAGAAACACTACCCACTTATTTCTCGAAAACTAAAAACGTTGCACTTTATTAATACTGATAAAAACATGATCTGTTTAGAAGTAAAAAACAATAATTCATATACTTGTTTCTTTATAAAATCAGCTAAAAACAAATTCTAAATACAAATGCGAAAAGAGCACTTTTTTTAAATAAATTGTGTAGTTTTATAATTTGTGTTTATACATATAATATTGGATATATGTATTATTAACAATACTTAATATTAAATTGTTTTACATGTTTGTAATTTTCTAAAACTGTTTTATTTATATTTTTCTATATTGTTCTTTTTTATTTTGTCCAATTTTAAGGTTCATTTTATGTCAAACACTCATTTTTGCTTGTCTACGGAAATGTTAAATATTGCAAAATATTGCAAATAGTATTATAAAAAAACTGTTATATTATTCAAGAAAATACACTTTCTAATTTGTAATTATGTTTTCAAATTTTTATTTTTAGTTTTTGTTTAAGAGAACAAAGTGGTTATGTTTTAAAAACAAAGTAATGTGATGTATCGGTGACCTTTATATTAAAAAATAATTTATACATAAAATATGACGGTATCGCGCGTATCGGTGACCTTTATATTAAAAAATAATTCATAAATACAATATTTTTTCTTTATTAGAAAATAATAAATTGTTGTATTAAATATTTCCTAGTAAAAGAAATCACATTCGCGTTATTCCACTTAAAATCTCTGTTCAAAATACGTAAAGACAATTTAGGAATCCCCTGGGGAGTTTGAACGCAATTAAACGCAGTTAAGAAAATTGGTCCTTACGCGATATAAAAATACTGCGGGGTTGAAATCATAAGATTTCTCTCATTGCTAATATTACCCGTTCGGTATATATATACGCTTTATCCGCAGAGCGTCTCATTAAAAAAAAAAACGGCCAGGTTTCTATTCTACATCATTCGCACGTGATAGTCGACGACTGCGACGGCCGACACTGAAATTAGACGTAATTGTCGTCGATTGCATCTACCCTTCGTAACTTGCGCCCTATCGTTCTCTCTTGCACATATTAGCGAGCGTAACACACGCGTTACTATATACAGGGTGGACCATTTTAATCCATCCAGTCGAATATCTCGAAAATCAAGCCCGGGAGAGAAAAATTTTTCAGACAAAAGTTGTAGGGTTTCGAGGGGGACATAAGATGATAACATTGGTTTGACCCTGAGTGGCGTCGTCAAGGTCAGAACAAGGTCACTTTGAATTTTTTAAATGGAACCCCCAATTTTTCATTACATGTTCTTATAGCACGCCTCGAGAACTTTCCAAAACACATAAATAAAATATTTTTTTATGAAATAAATCTTGAGTTATAAAGCTTAAAAGTTGGAGTACTGTCGGCATTAGCATCATCCAAGGTGTCCAAACACTAGCTAAAACCTTTTGAATGTTGAGATCGGAAGAGCACACGTCTGAACTCCAGTCACT